CATTTTGCACATTCTCAGTTTGGTGTGTATTGCTAGAGAGGTTTTTTTTTCCCTCTTGGGAGAGTGCATGTAATCAGCACAGGGCCAATCAGCACTGTCCAGACAGAGGTCAGGGGTCCTTCATTCTCCTAGAGCAAAATGAAAACTCCTACAGGCTGTAATCAGTGCTCGGCTGGATACTGACAGAAGTCACAAGACTGCTCTAACTGTTAATGAGAAAAGGTATTTAGCAGTTTATACTTACTAAAATAATTGCATTTCCATGATATTTGTACTGTGGGAGACCAGATATAGTGAATGCAGGGGCCTGGGTTTAGTAACACTTTAAGGGAAAATGGTACAAGATATTGCTTATCTTTGTTATTACAGATTGAACTTAGAGAATGAGTTCTGATGTTCCTAGAGTCCTGTCCCTTTTGAACAATGAGTTATGTATTTTACAATGATACATATACTCCCTATCGGTCAGATTCAGCATACGCCAGAGTCTATGAAACCCAGTTTTTCATAAAATTTTCCTAGCAAGGTAAGAATATCTGACACAAAGTGACTGATACCAGTATGTTTATCTAGTGCTGAATGCCAAGAAGTCGCTTACTGCCAGTATCGGCAGGAGCAATGGGTCAGCCACAACCTGTGCTAGGAGCTTAACCACGTCAATATCGCGCACTTTTACCCCCTTCCTCCCCAGGCCTATTTTCAGGTTTTAGCACTCTCACACTTTGAATGACAATTGCGCGGTCATGCAACACTGTACCAACACTAAAAATTTATCATTTTGTTCACACAACTACAGCTTTCTTTTGGTGGTATTTAATCACCACTGGGGTTTTTATTTTTTGCTAAATTAACAAAAAAAGACTGAAAATTTTGAAAAAAAAAACCCCCATGTTTTTCTTTGTTTTCTGTTATAAAAGTTTGCAAATAAATAATTGTTCATAAATTTAGGCCAAGATGTATTGTGCTACATTTCTTTGGTGAAAATAACCCAAATCAGTATTTATTTAGTCTGTCGTAAAGTGATAGAATTCACAAACTATGGGATATATCTGAAAATTGATCAATCCTTAAGTACTGACAGCCAATCTAATTTCTTGAGGCCAAAAAATGTCAGAACAGTACAGATATCCCCTAAATGACCCCTTTTTGCCAAGTAGACAGTCCAACATATTTCATAAGAGGCATGGCGAGTTTTTTGAAGTTGGGAAAATAATTTATTTATTTTCTTCATTTTCAGAAAAATGATGACAAAAAAAATTTACCGTATTTTTCGCTCCATAAGACGCACTTTTTTCCCCCAAAAAAAGGGGGGGAAATGTCAGTGCGTCTTATGAAGCGAATATGGAGCGGCCGGTCCGGTATTTCCACTGCCGCCGTGTCAGAATACCGGGCCGGCCGCTCAGCTCTACAGCGGGACCTTATAGAGATGATTGCTGACCTTTGGGGAGGGAGGGGGAGCGGGTACCTGAATTTGACAGGTACCCGCTCCCACTTCCGTGGAGTTGTTCTTTCATCTTACCCGTTCCTCTATCCAGCGGCGCGGTCTTCCCGGCTTCTGTAGTGTGGGCATGACAGCCGGGTGCCAAGTGCGCATGCGCAAGAAGCGGTGCTTTTTGTGAATGGTAAGGCGGCACCTGGGACACATGACAGATCCCAGAAGCCGCCGGATCAATCACAAAGCGCAAGTGCTTCTCGCTCATGCGCACTGGGCACCCGGCTGTCATGCCGAGCGCCATTACAGAAGCCGGGAAGACAGCGCGCGGCTGGATAGAGGAACAGGTAAGATGAAAGGACAACTCCGCGGAAGTGGGAGCGGGTACCTGTCAAATTCAGGTACCCGCTCCCCCCCCTCCCCAAAGGTCAGCAGGCATCTCCTGTACTGTCCGCAGTCTCTGGTCATCCCTGTACTGTCCGCAGTCTCTGGTCATCCCTGTACTGTCCGCAGTCTCTGGTCATCTCTGTGCTGTCCGCAGTCTCTGGTCATCCCTGTGCTGTCCGCAGTCTCTGGTCATCCCTGTGCTGTCCGCAGTCTCTGGTCATCCCTGTACTGTCCGCAGTCTCTGGTCATCCCTGTACTGTCCGCAGTCTCTGGTCATCTCTGTGCTGTCCGCAGTCTCTGGTCATCTCTGTACTGTCCGCAGTCTCTGGTCATCCCCTGTACTGTGTCTGCAGTCTTTGGTCATCTCCTGTACTGTGTCCGCAGTCTCTGGTCATCCCTGTACTGTGTCCGCAGTCTCTGGTCATCTCCTGTACTGTGTCCGCAGTCTCTGGTCATCTCCTGTACTGTGTCCGCAGTCTCTGGTCATCCCTGTACTGTGTCCGCAGTCTCTGGTCATCTCCTGTACTATGTCTGCAGTCCATTAGTTCAGAATTTTTTTTTTTCCTGTTTTCTACCTCTAAAACCTAGGTGCGTCTTATGGTCAGGTGCGTCTTATGGAGCGAAAAATACGGTACATACTGTCACCAGTGCAGTACAACATCATCATATAACTGGTGTGGGGGTGATCAGGGACACTGACTGGTGACAGTACGAATAAAAAATTGATACATTTTTTTTTTTTACTTTTTTTAATACTTTTTTTTTCTTTTTTTAAGATTTTTTTTTTTTTTCATATTACACTATGACCAAAGTAGTACAATGTTACCATAGTAACATTGTACTACTTTGGGGAAGTAATCAGTATTTGTTTTTTTCTGTACACAATTTGATTTCTTATAGCAAAGAATTTCTTGTTGTGATTAGCTGTGATTGGCCATGGCTAATCACATGACACAGCCTGTGCTTGTGATCGCTGTGACCATTCACAGCTAGACACACTTGTATACAATGGATGGCATGAAAGGAAGCCATCCATTGTTTACAACTGTCATGTGACCTGCTGTGATTGGTCACAGCAGGTCACAAGGTACTGGCGACGGGGTCAGTACACAAATCTGTCATCGTCCGTGTCCGAGGTACACAGCCGGTGATCGATCTCGCCACAAAGCGGCCCTGCGGGCACATGCAAAGCACGGTCCGGGAAGGACGTGATATGACTCTCTCCCAGAGGGACGAGAGGCTCGCCCGGTCCTCATTTTATTATAGGCCGGGCGGGAAATGGTTAATAACCTTGTGGTAATGGGAGGAGGCATATAGGTGTTAGGGAAGACACATTCCATGCTTTAAATACTATGCATAAACTGGTATCTTCACTGATTGTCAACCTGGACTCATTTGCAGAAGAATATAGTATTATGGTCAGTTTGAATATTGACACCCCTATATTAAAAGGCATGGTAGGAATAAGTGGAGTATTCTACCTCCTGTAGAAATTTGTAGGTCCTTGCAGTCAGGTGGTTCTGTGGAAAAAAAATCAGTCAGGTTATAATATGTTATGGAGTCAAGCACAACTTTTCCTTTTGACATAATCATTTAAACCCATGATATACTGTACCAGCACAATGGTTTTACAGTGTGAGGAGTCCACTTTGCGGACACTGTAACAACAGTTTCCACACAGGAGAAACACAGGATATCTTTGCCTGTCTACACATATGAGCAGCGTGCTCGCATAATTTGACCATTAACAGGAGAAAGACAGGTAGATACAAGTGAATCGTGAAGAAGGCAGACAGGTTGATACAATCTGAATAAATTGAAAAGCTGAACTAGCCAGTAAAGGGGTATTGGCTACAGGGTGGCAGGACTGCACAAAATCACGTATATATACATGATTTTCATTTCCAGGTAGGGGGCGCGCGATGCCTCACCCGCGCCACCATTGGCGGCTACAGATATCGATCACCAGGTCCTGGGCGGAGATTCCCCACCGGTACCCGGCGATCACTGAGGAACAGTGAAAGGTGACAGGTCTGTGTGTACACAACACAGATCTCTCTCCTGTCAGCACCGACATGCTGCTTTGTTTTTCTTTGCATAGCAGAGCAATACAAAGCATTATGTTCCCCTATTACACACAGTAAACACAGCACACACAATATAATGGCACACAGTTAACCCTTTGATCACCCCAGATGTTAACCCCTTCTGCCCAGTGTCATTAGTACAGTGTCAGTGCTTTTTATTAGCACTGATCACTGTATTAGTGTCATTGGGATGTCAGTGGCAGTTAGTCAGTTCCCCGCAGTGTCAGAATGCCTGCCGCAGTCCTGCTATAAGTCACTGATCGCCACCATTACTAGTGTAAAAAAAAAAAATCCAGTATATATATATACCGCCATTTGTAGACGCTATAACTTTCATGTAAACCAATTAATTTACTTGTATGTGGATTTTTTTTTTTTTTTTTTTTAGCAAAGGCATGTAGCAGAATACATTTTTGCCTAAATTTATGACGAAATTTTATTTTTAAAAAACTTTTTACTGGATATGTTTTATAGCAAAAAGTCAAAAATATTGTGTTTTTTTTCCAAAATTGTCAGTCTTTTTTTGTTTATAGTGCAAAAAATTGAAAACGCAGAGTCGATCAAATACCACCGAAATAAAGCTCTATTTGTGGGGAAAAAAGGACAAATTTAATTTGGGTGCAGTGTTGCATGACCGCACAGTTGTCAGTTAAATTAACGCAGTGCCATATTGCAAAAAAATGGCCTGGAGGGGGGAGGTAAATCCTCTGGAGGGCAAGTGGTTAACTTTTCTGTGAGAAAACCTCAAAAAGCAGTTGATGTTTTAAAAGTACTAAGTAAATGTTCTGTTTTACTGGGGCATCTGCGGACATTCTAGTAACTACGTCTGTCAACTAGCAAGTCAGATCAAGAGGGACAGGACCAAGCATTCTAATACTAGGGAAAGATTAAAATGCATGCTATGTAATGTTTTTTTTTTTCATGAAAAAAGTTAAGTGGAAAAGTTTGCTAAAATGTTTTGTCTTTTTTTTTTTTTTACTATTTTTTTTACCATTCAGTAATAGTTCATTGCTATTTCGAGATCGCTATAGAAAGCAACAACTGGTTTATTTAAGTGCTAACAATAAGAATAATTTTACATCTTTCCTTTATAGGTGTGGATAGACCCTGTCAAAGATATCAGGAAACAGGTGCATGGTGAGTACATTTTACGTAATTCTGACCTGAATATTAAACCATCCCTCATGGATTTTCAACTTTACATGTAAAGGTACTAAATTGATCTGGGACTATTGAATACAGGAAACAGTTGCTATGAATGTTTTCTGATATATCTGTATGCGTCCAAGAGAATTTCGGTATCTTCCTAAAGTTGCATCTTAGTTGTAATGGTCACTTTTATGTGATAAACCTGATTAGTTGATTCTAATGAAAACCATAAATATTTGTAAATTTCCTATGCTAGCCAGAGGCAGCATATACAATTGTGTTCAAAATAATAGCAGTGTGTTGAAAAAAGTGAATAAAAGCTCAAAATCCTTCTAATAGCTTTTATTTCCATTCACACAAATGCATTGGGAACACTACACATTCTATTCCAAAACAAAACATGAAGAAAAATGTAACAAATTTGTGTTGTTCCTCTAAAAAATTGAAGAAAAGTGAATATTAGACTGTTCAAAAAAATAGCAGTGTTTGTATTCTTCTTTACAAACTCAAACATTCACTATATAAACTGAAAAATGTTTGAAGATTTTGCTTTCCTTTGATCACTTAATATTTAGTTTGTATAATCACTGTTTCTGAGAACTGCTGTACATCTGTGTTGCATGGAGTCAACCAACTTCTGGCACCTGTGAACAGGTATTCCAGCCCAGGATGATTGGACTACATTCCACAGTTCTTCTCTATTTCTTGGTTTTGCCTCAGAAACTGCATTTTTGATGTCACCCCACAAGTTTCTATTGGATTAAGATCTGGGGATTGGGCTGGCCACTCCATAACGTCAATCTTGTTGGTCTGGAACCAAGATGTTGCACGTTTACTGGTGTGTTTGGGGTCGTTGTCTTGTTGGAACACCCATTTCAAGGGCATTTCCTCTTCAGCATAAGGCAACATGACCTCTTCAAGTATTCTGATGTATTCAAACTGATCCATGTTCCCTGGTATGTGATAAATAAGCCCAACACCGTAGTATGAGAAACATCCCCATATCATGATGCTTGCGCAACCATGCTTCACTGTCTTCACAGTGTACTGTGGCTTGAATTCAGTGTTTGGGGGTCGTCTGACAAACTGTCTCCGGCCACTAGACCCAAAAAGAACAATCTTACTTTCATCAGTCCAAAAAATGTTGCGCCATTTCTCTTTAGGCCAGTCAATGTGCTCTTTGGCAAATTGTAACCTCTTCAGCACATGTCTTTTTTTCAACAGTGGGACTTTGCGGGGGCTTCTTGCAGATAGCTTGGCTTCACATAGGCGTCTTCTAATTGTAACCGTACTCACAGGTAACTTTAGACCTTCTTTGATCTTCCTGGAGCTGATTGTTGGCTGAGTCCTTGCCATTTTGGCTATTCTTCTATCCATTCGAATGGTAGTTTTTTGCTTTCTTCCACATCTTTCAGGTTTTGGTTGCCATTTTAAAGCATTTGCGATCATTTTAGCTGATCATTTTCTGCACTTCTTTATATGTTTTCCCATCTCCAATCAACTTTTTAATCAAGGTACACTGTTCTTCTGAACAATGTCTGGAACAACTTATTTTCCCCTAGAATTTCAGAGAGAAATGCACTGTAACCAGCATGTACAACATTTGCTGCCTTCCTTCCTTAAATAAGGGCAATAATTGCCACCTCTTTTTCAAAGAATGAATGACCTCACTAATAGAACTCCACACTGCTATTATTTTGAACATGCCCCTTTCAATTATTGATTCAATTACACAGAATCAGCAGCATGCATGTCATGACTGTTGGGTCTGTTGGATTTCTATTACTTTACTACACCTGCTAGTAAATTATTTGCCATGTAGAAATATTATTTCTACCAAAAACAGTGATTGATCAGGTTAGTGATGTTTGACTGCTATTATTTTGAACACAACTGTAGCTGCTTTGGTGGATCATATTGTTGATTGTCAGAGGCTTAGTTTCTGCTTCATGACCCAACAGCAAAAGGAATGTTTCTAAGCGCCTGTAAAGTTCTCCTTTTTAGTGATTTTCTTGAAAAGTGAACATATGAAACAATTAATAAATTCCTTCTTTCTGAAACTACAGTTATCCAGTTTAACTTTTTGTACTGCAGTTCCCATTTTGAATTGTAATGATGGAACACTTTATCAATTCTATACCAGTACACATGCCACTGTCAACAAGCCTAAGTGGTCATTATGCCATATGCAGCATCAGTGTAATTTTTCATAGGGTTACAAAAGTCTACCCTAATAAAAAAAAAAAAAGTATGGATGCTAATTATGAGCAGAGTGACACGATTAAACCCAATCATTGAAATATCATCAGCTTTAACATATTAATGTAATTTCAAAAGCCATATTCCATTTTTTTAAATACATGTGCAGTTTTAACTATAATAATACTTGATCTTGTCATGAAAGTTCATGCAATTTCTGTTATCATGTGTGAATGCTATATTCTGATTTCCTAATTGTTTTCCTGCATTGTCACACTGCCTTCCAGTGGAGACTACAAGTGGTAGCTATTACTGAAGCTAGGGCATAATTTATTTTGCACCATACAGTCTTAGGCTTTTTATTTATTGGTTGCATGAGGACCAAAATACTGTATGTCAAAAATATTGTTTTGGTTCATCCTATACATACAGAACAAGTGCAAAGCATACTTGTGATTATTAACATCAAATATAAAGTAAGCAACTTTCTACCACAAATAAAACAGTACAGGACACAACCTCTGTAGTCATTACCACTGGGTTATATGCTGCTACCTTCAGGTGATTGTGCGGAGCCATCCCCATATATAACCCCTCCCACACCCAGCTAATATCATTTTTTTGCTAGTGTCGTTTAGTGATGGACCTCTTCTTTCTGAGAGGCTGTCCTCTTTGGAGGGGTGTCTGTCTCTCTCCATAGCCACTGCAGGTCCTCATTCATCTCCTGGGACAGTTGGCTCCTAACCAGAGCCTTGGGGATGCCATACCCAGATTCCACCTGGTGGAAGATGCAGGTCTGATCTGTTTTGATGCTTTTAAATACTGGAGTTTGCTGTGGCAGCTCCCCTTGGCATGTAGCGCAACACGTGGTGTTAGCTTCAGGGCGCTTAATAGTCATAATATCATTGCCATGATATATGACTGGCATAATGATCACATAACCTGGAAGTTTACAAATTGATTTATGATCAAGTTTGTTCTGCTATGATCAGAAGCCACTATTGGACATTTGACATTTCAGAATATGGAGATTGGCTACCACTAGAGTCCAATAAATTATTGAAGAGATGAGATCCTGGAAAATCACTCTCGAACACATACTCTTTCACGTCCTTTAGCTGTATACACATGGGGTACACATAGAAGAGTAGGTATAGAAAGGAGTAGGATGAACTGCCTTTTCTTTACTGCTGAGAGGCCTTGCATGTTCCTCTGTTTAAAGACAGCATCTGTCTCAGTCATGGGAATAGATATGAGATAGAGAGATGAAAGTTCAGAGTTTAATACTGCATTTCATTTCCCTTAAAGCAGAACTAAACTGCTTATGAGCACCACAAAATGAAAATGCTATTTGATTAATTTTTATTATTCAAAACAAATTCACTTACCCATCCATCTCTCCATGCTTTATTTTGCTGAGAAATCACTTTGAACAACACAGCCTTGCATTTCTGGCCACAGCCTTGTTGATTAAGGGCAGATGATCCATGTAGCATTGACTTCCTGGAATCCATCTGCCCTTAGATCTGGCCTACATGCAAGAGGATGTGCTTAGCTGAGAAAACCCCTCCCGAAGACTTCTGGGATGTATGACATTATTTTGCCTGGAAACCAGGAAGTAACTGAAGAAATGTAAAAAATTAGTTAAAAACAAATATAATATGCAGTAGGGCAAAAAAGTATTTAGTCAGCCACCAATTGTGCAAGTTCTCCCACTTAAAAAGATGAGAGAGGCCTGTAATTGTCATCTTAGGTAGACCTCAACTATGAGAGACAAAATGAGGAAAAAAAATCCAGACAATCACATTGGCTGATTTGGAAATAATTTATTTGCAAATTATGGTGGAAAATAAGTATTTGGTCAATATCAAAAGTTTGTCTCAATACTTTGTTATGTATCCTTTGTTGGCAATGACAGAGGTCAAACGTTTCCTGTAAGTCTTCACAAGGTTGGCACACACTGTTGCTGGTATGTTGGCCCATTCCTCCATGCAGATCTCCTCTAGAGCAGTGATGTTTTGGGGCTGTCGCTGGGCAACACGGACTTTCAACTCCCTCCAAAGGTTTTCTATGGGGTTGAGATCTGGAGACTGGCTAGGCCACTCCAGGACCTTGAAATGCTTCTTACGAAGCCACTCCTTTGTTGCCGGGGCGGTATGTTTGGGATCATTGTCATGTTGCAAGACCCAGCCACGTTTCATCTTCAATGCCCTTGCTGATGGAAGGAGGTTTGCACTCAAAATCTCACGATACATGGCCCCATTCATTCTGTGCTGTACATGGATCAGTCGTCCTGGTCCCTTTGCGGAGAAACAGCCCCAAAGCATGATGTTGCCACCCCCATGCTTCACAGTAGGTATGGTGTTCTTTGGATGCAACTCAGCATTCTCTCTCCTCCAAACACGACGAGTTGTGTTGCTACCAAACAGTTCTATTTTGGTTTCATCTGACCATATGACATTCTCCCAATCCTCTTCTGGATCATCCAAATGCTCTCTAGCAAACTTCAGAGGGGCCGGACATGTACTGGCTTAAGCAGGGGGACACATCTGGCACTGCAGGATCTGAGTCCCTGGCGGCGTAGTGTGTTACTGATGGTAGCCTTTGTTACGTTGGTCCCAGCTCTCTGCAGGTCATTCACTAGGTCCCCCCGTGTGGTCCTGGGATTTTTGCTCACTGTTCTGCTGATCAATTTGATCCCACTGGGTGAGATCTTGCGTGTAGCCCCAGATCGAGGGAGATTATCAGTGGTCTTGTATGTCTTCCATTTTCTAATTATTGCTCCCAC